AAAAAAAAAAAAACAGAAAGCCAGTGATGTGTGCTTCAGAGAGTGATTTGAGGAACAAGATGGAATGTCAGTACAGCCACGAGAACCCCCACAGCGATGGCCTTAGCACCAGCCAGGGTCTGCTGTCCCCTCTCTGGGTGGCTGAGGCAACAGGCCTGCCATCCTGACATGAGTGGAAAGCCCTCTCGCTAAGGCTCAAGTCAGGCCAAGCAGCTGACATCCTTCCCCACAGAGCCACGGCAGAGCCAGCGTTCCTGCACCGGCCAAGCAGGGGCTTGCGCGGCAGCTGAGAAGCCCACCCAGGGCGCAGCGCCAAGGCCCCGGCTCAGCCGCCTACACGCACGTCTGGACTCGGTGCCTAGAGGCCTCGCCCGAGGCGTGGAGCTGGAGCCAGCCTAGCGGGAACAGGAGCTTCAGCAGTGCAGTCCCCTCCGGCCAGAAGTCGCAGCCATCACAGGAGACAAGTTGTTCCCGATGCTCCAGGGTCAAGGCTGAGAGGGGTCCTTCCATCGGGCGGGTCCTCAGCGGTAACTTTCCTCCATGTGCTTGGGCGGCAGGGGTCCTTGCCGGCAAGACTGTCCCTGGGCGTCTTCAGGGAAGCTCCACAGTGGGACTGGAAGGAACCAGTGAGAGGGGCGTGGTCAGCTCACGTCCCAGCAAATACGCAAACCTGCACTGAAACGTGCTCTCTACACCCCAAGACTGAGCTTTCCGACACACCTGTGGACTATTTTACCTGCTTTCCTTTCAGAAGAAATGGAAAAAGTCCTGAGGGCTTCCTTCACCCCTTCACCCAACAAGTCACAAGTTCACTTTGAGAAACACCACACTGGAGCGCTTGCTGGGCCCCTAGTTGCATACACCACGGTCTTTGCGTTTGCATATTTAGCACAATACCCACCCCAAGACACACACACACACACACACACACACACACACACAAGTGTGGGGAGAATTATCAAAGTGTCCTCTTCGCCTCAATCTAGAAATACAAGAGAGACTGGATTATGGTAGGAAGGGGCAAGACTGAGAGTCCAGAGACCTGGTGATTCTAGCCTCACCGACACGAACATGCCATTGAACCTCTCTGAACCTCAGTCTCCTTATCGGTGAACAGGTGAACAGTATCCATGTCTGGAGGGGGAATACTGACACATATATGTCTAGGGCTACCATGACTTACTAGGGTTAACTTATTACTTGGGATCGCATGGTTTTCTGTTCCTTTGAGGGAAAGGGAGGGGCAGCTTATTTTCTAAAAGAAGTAGTGTGAGGTAGTTCTCAACAGTTATGAAGTTCTGGAACAGAAAAGGAGAATAAAATATCTTATCCCTTATCATAAGAATAGCGGTCCTTCCTGGGTGTGTCCAATCTCCATGGCTCTTCTAAGGATCAATGAAGTTAATATATAGAGAGAAACACTTTGAGAGGCATAAGCTCGAAAGCAAACATAAAGAATTTAAATTGCTGTGATAGCAGAAAATCGCATGAGCCTATGCTAGACTGAGTCCCTTAATTAGACGGGCGGTTCTCGGTCCCCACAAGTCCTGTGATCACCGTGCTTGTGGTCGTGCCGATGCTCCTAAACAGGAGACGGAGCAGCTGGGGTGCAGCCCGGCCTCAAGGCTGGCAGACGGTTAATCACAGGGGACCCCAGAGCACGGGCTCAGCTGCCGGGTAATTGATACCCAGCCCCAGGTGAGGTGGTTCATCGGGGGCGAGGGGAGGCTCCGTGCTCGGGAGCACAGACTTCACAACCTCCCTCTGCCATTGCTGGGGGACCTTGGGGGAGTGACTTCATCTCCTGGAGCCCCAGTTCTCATCTGTACACAGGGATAACAACACCTGCCTCGTGGGGTCGATGATAAACTTGAGTGGTTATGTAAATCGCTGGAGGCAGGATGGGCCCACGCTCGGTGCCCAGTGCGCAGCAGTAGCAGTATTATCTAGTACCATGACTAGGGCAAGGGTGGGGGCAGGAATAGGTGGAGAGACAGTCTCCCTGCTCTCCAGCAGGTGTTTAGGCTCAGAGGGCAAGATGGGCCTTGCTCAACCGGAAGAATGGGATTCCAGCATGGGGCAATGGGATTTAGAAACGTGACAACCCCTCTGTCTGACTCAGATCCACGTACATGAGCATTCCTGTTGCTCAAAAAGGGGGAGAAGGCCAGGCACAAGTGGCTCACGCCTGTAATCCTAGCGCTCTGGGAGGCTGAGGCAGGAGGATCACTTCAGCTCAGGAGTTCGAGACCAGCCTGAGCAAGAGCGAGACCCCGTCTCTATGAAAAAAAA